TGCGCGTACTTGGCTTACAGCAGGAAGTACTCGTGGTGCAGGATGACTTCGCTTTCCACATCCTCCACCAGGATCCAGAAAGCTTCGGACGAACCGTGTACCTAAGCAAGGGCAGCTGTCACTTTCCTATCAGAGCCTAGATCCCCTCCTTCCAAATCTCCAGGACCTGAACACCAACCCTCCCACAGGAATTTTGCCCCAGAAGTGCCTTCTTTCTCCCCCAGCATCGTATTTAGCCTGGTGATATTTAGCTGCGCAGCTCACCTTTTCATCCCACTGGAAGTCAGGGGCAATGGTGAGCTCTACTTTCAGGGTGGAACGGGTAATAGGCTGCAAGTGGACGGAGAGCTCCAGCTTTGGAAACAGATGAACGTATTTGTGGATTGTCTTGCCCATCTTGGGCATTCGGATCAGTTCCCCTGCAAGAGAAAGGCGCTGCCGTCAGGACAGATGGACAACAGAGTGACCAACAGCTCCCAAACCAAACAGTATTCATTATCAGCGATCCAAGGAGCTGGAAGGTGCCAGGGCAAAGCCTCTGCCCTCCTCAAGCTGTACCAAGACCTTCGCCAGTTCTGCGCCTTCCATCAGACAGGAAAAAGAGCCCAATTTCTGGGTCAAAACATGGCAGAGGAGAACAAAGAGGCAGACACCTCTCCCTGCTGCATTTGCCCGTGTGCCCTAATGAAGTTCAACAGGGGCGAGTGCGGGGTGCTGTGTCTGGGGAGGAATAACCCCACACAGCGGTCCAGGTCAGGGGCTGACCTGCTGGAGAGCAGCTCTGGGGAAAGGGACCCGGGAGTGCTGGGGGACAACAGGATGGCCACGAGCCAGCAGTGTGCCCTGGTGGCCAAGAAGGCCAACGGCATCCTGGGGGGCATCGAGAAGAGCGTGGCCAGCAGGTGGAGGGAGGTCATCCTCCCCCTCTGCTCTGCCCTGGGGAGACCACATCTGGAGCGCTGTGTCCAGTTCGGGGCTCCCCGGGTCAAGAAGGACTGGGAACTGCTGGAGAGGGTCCAGCAGAGGGCTGCGGAGATGCTGAGGGGACTGGAGCATCTCTCTGATGGGGAAAGGCTGAGGGACGTGGGGCTGTTCAGTCTGGAGAAGAGAAGACTGAGGGGGATCTTCTCAACGCTGATCACTCCTTCAAGGGAGGGTGCCGGGGGGTGGGAACAGTCTGTTTCCAGCGGTGCCCAGTGACAGGACAAGAGGGAACGGGCACAAACGTGACCATGGGCAGTTCCATCTCCACCTGAGGAGGGCCTTCTCTGCTGTGAGGGCGGCAGAGCAGTGGCACAGGCTGCCCAGAGAGGTGGGGGAGTCTCCCCCTCTGGAGCCATCCCAAACCCGCCTGGACGCCGTCCTGTGCCACTGCTGGAGGTGCCCCTGCTCTGGCAGGGGGGGGGATGGGGGAGCTCCAGATTGCCCTTCCCACCCTCACCAGTCTGTGAGTCTTTCTGTGTCTCCATACCTATTTCGTTATGGTTCAAGTCGTAGAGCCGTTCAAACGGGAAGTTCTTCTTCTCGATTTTCTTCACCACTTCTTCAGGCAGTTTCTTGAACTGTCGCAAAGGGCACATGGACTGCCACCTGCGAGGACACCGCAAGGTGAGACAAGCAAAGAAACAGAGACAAAGCCTTCAGAGCACCAGATTCTCCACATTACCAAAGACCAGCCCTTGGCCAGACACACAGGGCAGCTCCTTTACACCCCGACAGGCACAAGCGCTCTCCTTCCCGAACTCTGCAGGCCTAGTCTGGCTACGAAGAGTCTCATCCAGCCTGCAATCAGCAAATACATCCGAGATCTCACTTACATCCGTTTGTCAATCATCTTGCAGAGGTTAAGGGTCTTGTCGGTGAGCTGGGCCCAGCCACGGTTCAGGACGATCTCGAAGATGGCACGCATCAGCCGCCCAGCAGACTGGGGGAATAGAGAGCAGCTCTCAGACTTGGCTGCCATCATCACATTTAACTCTTCCTCCCTTTCTACTCATTTTCCTGCCCAGCAACATGATAACGGAATGGTTTGGGTACCTTTTAAAGATCAACTCATTCCACCCCCCCTGCAGAGACACCTCCCCCCAGCCCAGGTTGCTCCAAGCCCCGTCCAACCTGGCCTTGAACACCTCCAGGGATGGGGCAGCCACAGCTTCTCGGGGCAACCTGCCCCAGGGGATCACCACGCTCATCATAAAAAAAAAAAATTCTTCCTTATATCCAACCTAAATCTATCCTCTTCCAGTTTAAAACTGTTATCTCTTGTCCTATCACTACGAACTCTGGTAAAAGTAGAAGAATAAGGCTACCCTGTAGTCTTCTAGCGCTGAATTACTTTAATTACAAATTAGAGACTTCAATGAAGATCTAATTCCCTCCCATCCTGACAGGGGTCAGACCTTCTCACCGCTCTAGTTATTTTCAAAGCCATTTATGACCTCAAACTGAATTTTGGAGGTTCAAATAGTTGTCCAAGACTGAGAGACGACTGGACTGCACACACCTAAATGGAAACAGAGAGTCTCCGGGCATGTTTCCTCACTCACCTGCGTAACGTACACCATGTCTGCCATGAGAGCAAATCCTTCCAGCTTCAGCTGGGAGATGAAAGCCTGGAGGAGCACGTTGATCTGGGGAAGCAGAACAGAGAGAGTCTCAGTGCCCTCCGCGCCAGCACCTGATCCCGGTGGGCTTTGACATGTGGCAGGACAGAAGCGATCAAGCGGATGGACTGTCCTAAGCTGCAAGACAGCGTGCTCAACCAGAGACAAGAAGCACCTGCAGCTCTTCGAGCATCTCTTGACACAGTCGAGGATGTCCCACAGAGGGAAGAGAACAGAAATCCCCCCGCGAGTGGCATTTCCCATCGCAGCTCTCCCGCAAGGATCACTGCTCCCCTCAAGACAGGCAGAGAAGTTCCCTCAAGGAGGCAGACGGGACTCACCTTGGCGCTGGGCTCCTCTATGCTCTCCTTCACCGGGATGGGAACTCGCTCCAGCAACTTTTGAAGCTCCAGCTTCTCCTCCTGCAGAAAACCAAGGCAGGAGAGATGAGAACGGTCCCTGACAGGGCAATCTCTACATCCTCCCCTGCAGCATCAAGAGCGATGCCTCAGGGCCGCCTCTCTCGGGAGGGGTGTCTGGCTCCGTACCTCCCTCACAGTGATGTTCCTGAACTCCGATGACAGCGAGAAGACCCGAAACAGCTCGATTTCACTCAGGGTGGGTTTCAGGAGCTGATTGTAAGTTTGCATCGTCTCGTTGGTGATGTAGTAGTGGCTGGCGATGCGGCCCAGCTCTGTCACCTGCCACAAGGACAACAGCCAGAGTGAAACAGCGAGAAAGACACCCGACTGTTTGTGGCACAGACAGAAGATGCTGAACAAGAACCAGGCTGCAGCAGGGGAGATGTCTCCAGACGAGCTCAGCGTGAAGTCTCAGGCTACAAATCACCCAGGAAAGCTGCTTTACCTGGTACACAATTCCACACATCACAGCCTCCCCTTTCTCACCTCACTGCCTCTGAAGCAATGAAAACACAACGGAAATGTGAATTTGCTTAGGAGGCAGCAGCAAACACACAACAGTGACAGACGGAGGGTCAGGTTTAACACCAGCACTCTCTATGCTGGCAAACAGATCTCTGGAATCACAGACGTGCACAACAGCAGGTTTGGATGATGCAGCACGCCCTGGGATCCGTATTTAATCAGCAAGATGCCTCTTTCATCCTTTCTCTCAGCCAGAGGATGCTCCCGTCCAGCTCTACTTGATCACAGTGCCTCTCCCAGGTCCCATCTCACCTGGAAGTTCCCCGTCTTCTTGTCGTACTTCACCAGGTTGTTCTTGTCTAACATGAGGGCTGCAGTGTGAACCAGATCCAGGCGGCGCTGGTCCAGCAGCGGATCCCCCTTCAGATCATCGTGGGATATCCCGTAGAGAGTAGGGGAGCGCAGCATTCGGATGTACAGGTAGGTGTAGCCCAGCCAATTCACTGCATCCTGAGGAAACACCAGCACGCCGTAAGAGCTGACAAATACGCCTCACGGCAAGCAAGAGACGCTCCAGCTCGGAGCCCGGTGCTCCCAGCACTAGAGTAGGAGGCATCAGGCTCAGCCCAGCTGAATCCTGCCAGGTCAATGTTAAACCAGAGCTTGGAAGTTCAGCTGTGCCACACACAACTCTTCTCCAGGACCAGAAAAATATTAAGGAATTAAAAAGGAAGAAAACGCACCCTCCACAAGCAGACTTTTCCCCAGCATCCTTCTCTGTGTGGAGAACTCTGTCTGCTCTGAATTACAGAAGCATCAACTCACTTCCCTGACACAACAGCCAGCCTTACAGGCTGGTAGTTCTCACAGCTGTCCTTCCAGATCTCTTAAAAATTTGCTTCCCAGGCACTAATGGTTGCAATTTTCTTTGCTCCTGTACACTGACGACATCCCTCCCTAGCACAGATCATTCTTTGCCCCCTGCAATTCTCAGCAGCTCCCTGGGTGCAACAAAAGGCACACGTATGTGGGGAAAGCAAAGATTCGCACTCACCTTTGCGTTCTGGACATTCCCGAGCACGGTCTCTGCATTCAGCATGTCTGGGAGCTTCGACACCATCTGACTTTCAATGGGGAGCTGCTGGTTGAGCAGGGACAGATAATACTGCAGCTCGCCGTGGGATGTGATGAGGATTCCCTCTCCTTTGGTATCGTACTGAGGCCTCCCGGCACGCCCCAGCATCTAAGAAACGAGAAAGTGAGGTCAGCAAAACATAAAAGCTTTTAGTTTGGCAATTTCTCCTTGCTGCCGTGTCCTGGGGCTTTACTGCCAGATTGTTCAGTCTGCTGTTACTTCTAGCTGGCAGGAGACACACAGAAATATCTCAGATGTGTCTAAGCAAGATATTGGGAGAGGAATCATTTGTCCTCTTCTCCTACTGAGCTGCTTCTCCTCTGCCCTCACAGCAGGGCTGTTCCCACAACAGCTGAGACAGTCTGACAGTAGGGAACAAGGAGCGACTGCACTGAGAAAATACAAAAGCAGACCACAAATGTGCCTCAGGGGAAGGGAAAACTCCTGCCCTGGGTCCTGACAGCATCTTTGTTACCAGAACTTTACCTGGAGGATGTCCAGAGCACCCAGCTCGGTCCAGCGCCCCTTCTCGGGGCTGTACACCTGCGTCCCCTTGATGATGACGGTGTGAGCAGGGAGGTTTACACCCCAGGCCAGCGTGGCTGTGGAGACCAGCACCTGCAGGAGCAAAAAACAGCAATCAGAGCCAGGTAGAAGCCTCTTCCTAGGGAAAAAAAGGATCTAAAATGCCAGTCCTGACATTAGAGATATGCACAAAAGGGACAAAGACCGAGAAGTGCGACTGTCTTGACAGCTCAGCAGAGGGAGGTCAGATGAACAGCAGGATCTTTGCCCAAATTTCCCAGCTCACTGCACGACCCTGAGAAAATCCTTTGCCTTCCATTCACAACTGCCAAGAAATTGCTTGGATGGGGTTTTGCCAAAGTGGCAACTGCGGAGGAGACAGCCATCTCTGGGACAGCTTTAAACATTCAGCGAGGCCTAGAGGAGAAGTTTTTGCCCTCTCCGCTCCTGGCCGCGTGTTTTTGGTTTCTATTCTTTACGTGAAAATCAGGGCTGCCTTCACAGGGCACCAACTTCAGTAGAGCAGGACAGGGGTTGGCTACATTTATCCTCTTGATTTTGCCCAAAGGGCTGTTGGAAAACACGGCTCAAGGAATTCTTGTGAAGTACCTACCCCAAACGTTGCGATTCCTGCTGGGA